CCCCCCCCCGAAACAAGAAGCATTTTAAGCCTTTGCATCCGCAGTAACGCGAGTTTTCGCTTTTGGTATGTTTCCAGAACAGCAGAAACCGGAGTTCGACCGCGGGAGGAACCAGGAGTGCGCCGAATAAATGACGTAAATCCGAGGAACGGAAACGCAACGTCACTCGCTAACTCGCAACCCCCCTTCCCCCCTACCGGACCTCCCCCACTCTGCCTTTCTCTTTTACCGTTTTCACGTCTCTCCTGTCCCATCCCCCTTTGCCCGATCCAGCACACCACCACCACCGACACTACCGCCGCCGCCACCACCACCGCCACCACCACCACCGCCACCATCGCCTGACCCCTCGTCGTCGTCGTCGTCGTCGACCACTTACCGTCTCCACCATCCGACACACAACCGGACCTTTGACCCCCTGCCTCTTTACCCGCTTTGTCGCCTACCGCCTCCTCTTGTGCTTACTCTCAAACCAGCTCCAACCTTCCAGCCGCCGCCGCCGCCTTCTTCTTCTACTACTTCGTCTTCTTGTTCATCGTCTCCCCCCTTCGTTCTCTCCCTTTCGTTCCCACACCAACGTACGACGTTCCGACGCTCCGACGTTCTGCACCCGTCCACCATTCCTCAGGAACGCCACGCCATCATTGCTCTTTATCTCTCGCCCCTTCTCCGGCAGGCGCAACCGTGGCTAAGGTGACCCTTTCGAAAAATTCGAGAGCTCTGTTTCTAGCTCCGTTCTCTCTTACGGCCTACTACTACTGTTACTACTACTACTACTACTACTACTAGTACTATTACTACTACTATTACTATTACTATTACTACTACTATTACAACTACTACTATTACTACTACTACTGTTATTACCTCCTTGGAGTCGTCCTTCCTCGTCCAAGTAGACTCAACAGACACGAGACACACACGGCGTTAGCTTCAGAACCGGCTTGAAGGACACCACGACCGGCTTTTTTGACACACAGACACACGTACACATACACACACAGAACACACGTACGTACGTATATATATGTATATGTATATACGTGATATATATTCATATATATATATGTATGTGAAACGTCTGCGACAAAACTCGAATGCAGCAACAACAACCAGCCTACAACATATTCGATAAGGAGCGAAAGAAACGCGGCTAGAGAGCACACACACCCCCGTTGGTCGACGTTCAGCTTCTCTCGAAGGCTTTCAAGCTTTGCCCAAAACTACCACTACCACTACTACTACTACTACTACTACCACCACCACTACTACTACTACTACTACTTGCTCTAGTTGCTAAAACGCGGCTTCTAAACGCCTCGCCGAGTTCATCGCGCCAAGACGAACGAAGGATTCGGAAGCAAGAATCCCGGTAAGAAAAATATACCGGTGAGAAGAATCGAAAAGGAGAGTGGATCCTTCCGCGCGCCAAGTCGCTGAAACGCCTAAGATCTTTGAAGCCAGAGCCTAATCGCTGACAATATATACGTATATATATATATATATATATATATATATATATACACACACACACACACACGTGTATATATATATTATCGGCCTCTTCTACTTCAACCACTTTCTTTCAATCGGCGAAAATACCTTCCTCTGCCTTCATTTCCTCGAGTAGAAGGGTGCAACGCGTTCCTCCTCCAGCCAATCGCTTCGACGTCGACGCTGCATCATCGGAGAAAAGGGCCGGACGCCTACCAACGCCCTAGGCTCGAGTCGGAAAAATCGAACGAAACGGAAAGGAAACGGCTCTCTTTCTCCTTTGCGCCTAACCAGCTGAAGCTCTCACGGCGTTACGACTCAACGTGCTACGTACGGATCGATAGCAACAACTGTGTTTGATAAAGAGCAGCCAGGCGATAACGGTGTGCGTGTGTGTGTGAGAGATCATCGACGGTGTCTAAATATAGCTTTAGAGAATTGCCCGTAGAGAAAACCGGCGCTGACAATCGCAAGCCTTTTACGCTACACACGGTGTTCGATAATACGCGACAACGAATATAGTAGGCAGTTAAAAGAAGCAAAAAAGAAAAAAAAAAGAAAAAAAGAAGAAGAAGAAGAAATAGAAGAAATCGAGAAGAATTTTAGCTCTCGAAGATTTTACGGATCAGTCGAAATCTTTGTTGCGCGGTCGTCCGGTTTATACGCGAGTTTTTAACGTGATTCGTCGACGAGGAAGATTCGCCGAGCTCTTGGAAGATCATCAGTTCGCCGCGGGACTCGTTCATGGGACAGTAAGGTCGCACCGTACTCAAAGAAATACTTCTTGCGAAAGGTACCACTATTTATCATTGTATCAAAGCTCGTGGCACTTGCAGGGATTTCGGATGAGCTGACGGATGGCTGTGAGTGTGATTCTGTCGTGAATAACGTTGCCCGCAGAAATTTAATTCGGTTAGTCCGGCCTAAGAAGTGTCTGTGTTTCAGCCCCTTTATGCCTTGAGTTACATTGCGTCTCGATAGCAATTAATATTTACGCCTCTAAGAAATTACTTGGTTACTCCAGTGCCTAGTTCGCCACTCGTCATGAACGCGATTCGACACATCTACCCGGGTCCAACTTCGTCAAGTTTGAGTCGAGATTGAAATTCTCGTCGTTTTAGCTATTACAAAATCGTTTCGATTCGAGGATCGAGGAACGTTCGTATCGTCCATACGGAGTCGCGCCATTGACGGGAAGACAAAGGGGAACGAAAGCGGACGCTTCGTAGGTTACAATTCATCGGTCGTGCGCGTGAATGAAAGGCCTGGTGTGATTGAAAGCGGAAGCAATACGTGTCGTACGATAGTCGGTAGTCTGAACAAAAAAAAANCAATAATTTCTTTCCAGTGATATCATACCGACGAGTTCAAAAAAAAAAAAAAGCGACGAATTATTGTGTATATACGGTCACTCGTTATGGTCCGCAATCAGTTGCCAAGTGATTAACTCCATACAGTACTGGAAAATCGTCAGAGTATTTCGACAAATGAGAAATTCGCTGGACAATGTTAACGAGGGACACGAAGGATATCAAATATATTATCAGAATCGTTTTATGTTACGTTGTTTTTAATTATATATATTATTTATGGCGATGTTAATCAAACAGTATTGAATTCAGCAAAATATCAAATTTATTATCAAATATTATCAAAATCGTTTTGTACGCTTTGTACATTATATTTAATCATATTTATTATATTACATTTGTACATTTGTCTTATATTTCATGTTATATTTATTTATCGTACATTTTATGATGTCTCCTTCTCTTTGAACAAAATCATCAATCTTTCTTAGCAAGACGATCGATTGGCTGTCGAACATGGCGATGTTCATCAACCTGGTATTAAATTCAGCGAAATGTATTGTGAAAATCGTTCTTTGTTTTATACGTTATATTTAATCATATTGCATTTATAAATGTGCCTCATGTTTCGCGCATTGCATTTATATTATATTTGACGTTTTTACATTTTACCTCCTTCTCTTGAAAATAATCGATCAATTTATAACAAGTCGATCGATCGGCTGCCGAACACGGCGATATCAATCAAAATGTATTGAATCATCAGCAGCCATTTATCTCGAGCATTAAATCGTCACCGTTAGCAACGTTCGCGTCGTAGATAAAAAGAACCAAAGACGTAACTTCTTCGTACTTCGAGTTGCACAACGCTCCGCTGGAAATCTGGCTCGCTTCATTCCCACCGCACGCAGCTTTATATCTCTCTACCTTTGATCGTGAGTCATCGTTACGATCCGATCCCCATCGTCCGAGGCACCATCAATTTCAATCGTGCACCTCGAGCAACCGAGAATCGATAACAAGATCGTCCGATGCCCACCGATTCAGTTCGCAGTTTTTCGAACTCTCGATTCGTCGTTCGCGTCGATGAAAACTCGTCGAACGCATGCGACTCACTTGGCTCGCGACTCGACTCGACTCAACGAGAGAGAAACGGACGGATATTAGGCCCCAATAACCTGATTCTCGTCGCTTTATTCTCATCGCGCGTACGCGCTCTTGGACACGTTTTTCCAGATTTCCTCCCGTAAGGCGTACCGATCGCGTCGTTCCTTGCACGCGAGCATACGTGCTCGATCTTTTCCCAATTCCTACGATCAATCTTTGTACTTCGAAGCTATCGAATGCTCCGAAAGCGAAAATATGGGAAATTTAACCCTTTGCTCTCGATTGTCTAAACTTAATCTTTTGTGCGGTCGAATGATGCCACGCACGTCGAGAACGTTTTTTCGCCTCAAAATTGTAATATCTTCTCAGTTTTAAGTATATTTAAAGTATATGTAACCCAGGCAAAACAAATAATAAATTTATTACTTCTCAATAATTTCTATACAGTGATACCATATCTACGAGTTCGAAACGAAGGCGACGAATTATTGTATACGGTTTGGTCACTCGTTATGGTCCGCAATCGGTTGCCAGCTCAACTGGTTAAGGATCACCTATAATAATGTCGTTTTCTGACACTGTAGAAAATTTTATTTCATTTAAAAGTTAATACAGCTTTAATCTGTAATACAATTTAACAATAAAAACACTAAATGTCAATGTATTTAACTAGAATATGGGTTATATTAGGCATAACATTGGTTATTTTATAACATATTATTATAGCATAATATATGTTATAATAAGTAAAATTATATATTTAAGTGAAACAAAATAGGCAAAACAAATAATAAACTTACTACTTTTCAATAATTTCTATCGAGTGATGTCATACCGACGAGTTTTCGAAAAGAAAGCGACGAATTATTGTATACGATTTGATCACTCGTTATGGTCCGCAATCAGTTGCCAGCGCAAGGGGTTAAAACTAGCCGACAGTTCCTCTTTTGATCATTTGCTGATAATTATAACGAACGTACACGTATTTGATGTTTCATATATATTATCTGCCAGCAATTTATTTACGAAGCATCACTTCAAATAAAATGATACAGCATTGGAAGAAATAATCGTTCAAATTATTTCTTGGCATTTAATACGAAATTTCGAATTGATTATATCTTTCTGACGTGCAATATCGTTTAAATTTAAAGCAATCAGCGGCGTGCATTGATTTAAAGTTTGCTAGAACTAGCATAAGAGTTAATGATATAGTTCCAATCTTTGGAAAAATAATATCCTCCGCCATATTTTAAACTTTCGTTAGAAGTAATAAGAAGTATGTGAATTATTGAGTGTTAATTGAAAAAGTGTCACAGAAGAGAAACGGTCTTCAGAAATTTCTTCTTTTGAAATTCTTTTGTTTTTCTCACGTCGTTATTATAGCTTTCACTCTAGACGTCTGTTCGGATCTTACATTATTATATATCGCATCATACAACATCAAATAGCATACGTTCATTATAATTATCGGCAAATTATAAAAAGAGGAAGTCCTGGAGAACTGTTGGCGAGATTTAAGATGTCCCCTCGATAAGGAAAGCCGAGTGCAAAGATAGGCATTTAATAGCTGTAGGTAGGACATGCTGCATTTTGCGACAGGGAAAAGTAGAGTTAAATACTGGAAGTAATAAAATAATAAAATAATATAATAATATCGTAATGTAATGTAATAATACAATATATAATAAAATAATAAAATACTGCAATAAATGGAAAATTCATTGTATACATATTTTAAGTAAAATAATAAAATAATAAAATAAAAAAATAATATAATAATATAATATATAATAGAATAATAAAATACTGCAATAAATGGAAAATTCATTGTATACATATTTCAAGTAAAATAATAAAATAAAAAAATAATATAATAATACAATATATAATAAAATAATAAAATACTGCAATAAATGGAAAATTCATTGTATACATATTTCAAGTAAAATAATAAAATAAAACAATAATATAATAATATAATATATAATAAAATAATATAATAATAGAATAACATAATTTAATAACAGAATATATAATAAAATAATAATAATGAAATAATGAAATAATAAAATACTAATAATAAAATAAATGGAAAATTCATTGTATACATGTTTTAATTAAAGATAAATGGCGATGTGATAACGTTGTTGTATGTAGGAAATTGTACGCAAAAGTTTGAAAACGGTCAGTTTGACCGGTGGTGAAAATTGGAGTAGGATTAGCGTTGATTTTGATATCTACTTCTATCGATACAAACGGCTGCATTGCGTCTGCGAAAAAAAAAACAAAAAAAAAAACAAAAAAAAAAACAAAATCGACGCAGCTCGAGCTGCGTTCCGCCGTTTCAAGATCCGGTAGATAAGTGACTGTGCGCCAAGGAACGCTTTATTTCGCCCCGGTAATTACGTGTCAGACGCACTGGCTGCTCCGTAGCATGCGTTTTATGGCGTTGTTTCGAACTCCTTCGGAACGTGATATAAGTATAAAGCTACGTTGTAAAAGCGTGCACGAGTTATATTGTCGGTTGATACGCCTCGTTATGAAAGAACCAACGTGAGAAGAACGCGCCAAGTTGATCGTGCCACTCGATCGAATATGTGTGAAAATAAATTTCGGTCGTACCTTCCTAACCAATAGTAAGAAAACAAAGTTGTGAAAACAAAGCGATTGTTAACGAAATTATATTGTAGAAATCGTGGAAGACGTTTTAACCCCTTTGCCTTGCGATTTTTTTTTTTTTTTCAATTTTAAGCGGCAAGCATTGCTTATTGATACTGTATTATACTTTAATTAATTATATTATACATACACTTTATTATATTATTATTATTATGTTATACTTTAATTAATTTAAAGTATCGAAATATTCTATGTTTATTTATCATTGTTCAGTTTGACGAAATTAAATTTAAAATCTGAATTGAAATTTCATAGGTTTACAATGTACTTTTTCTTTTATATCGAGGCCATAATTTGTGCTACGAGCACGATTTGATATTGTAATCGTGGAAGACGATTTTTAACCCCTTTGCCCTGCGATTTTTTCTTTTTTTTTTTCAATTTTAAGCGGCAAGCATTGTTTATTGATACTGTATTATACTTTAATTAATTATATTATATTACATATACTTTATTATATTATTATTATTATATTATACTTTAATTAATTTAAAGTATCGGAATATTCTATGCAATTTTTATTCATCAATGTGTTCAGTTTAACGAAATTAAATTTTAAAATCTGAATTGAAGTTTCATAGGTTTACAATGTCATTTTTCTTTTATATCGAGGCCATAACTTGTGCTACGACTCGATATTGTAAGTCAAAGTGTTAAAGAAAGCGAAGTCTTCGTATTCATTCCTCTCGAGCGTCTAATTGAAGAGAGCTTTTTTTCGCTGCTTAGAAGCTTTCGGTTCAATTTTAAACGCTGTTAATCGCGCGCCGTATCCGAAGAAATTAAACGAGACAGCCGCATAAAAGTCTCGCTTCGTGATATCTTATTGTTTCGTTCAATTGATCACCCGCTTTCCACCATCTCGCCGGCGAGAAGTAGGAAAATATTCATGAAAACGCTCGCCGGAGAGAGCGTGAATCGAACAATAAAGATATTAATTAACTGTTAGCGCGTGGTTTCGGTGAAATTTCCGCCGCCAGGAGAGAGATGTTCTCGAAAGGCGGTAAGTAACAGATCCGACGATGGATTAATCCTGAATCTGCTCCGGACCTTGAGACCTTTCATAGACAGAGATTACACCTACTTTCGAACGCGATGAATTACTCGGATTAACGGAGACTTGGGCACGTGAAACAAACGGAACACGTCTCACACGCGACAACACAACTGTCACGCGTTTCGCGTTTCGCGAGCGTGTACGCGATTTAACGTCCACTTCGTGTTATTTTCGCTGAGGAAAGTTTCTCTTGCTTTGACGCAATTTCGTATCCTCGCCGGTGCAATTGTCGCCGTTACATTGTTCAAAATCTCTAGTGTCCAACACTTTGGATTCACTTTGCCAACCGCAGATCTTTGGACTCGTTCCGTGAAAGTTACATTAAAATCTATGAAATTATGAAATTTCTGGGTGTCACGTTTCCCAAACGTTGACGAAAGTATATCTATGATTTATTCTAATTTATACTTTTGATCTGACGTATTTATTACACCGGGGATATGGGAAAATTTTCGTATTTCCCCGCAAATCGGTAACGATCCTCGCTATATTCATCCGTATTTAATCGTTGCATTAATGAGAAACGTAATTGAAGAACTTGGATTATATAAACGCCAGTTATCGAGAAATTCATTTCCGCGGTGTTAAGCAAGTTTTCATTTCCCTGGCTCTCCCGTTATTATAAGCGGAGAGATAGCCACTGGTAATTATTGTTCGAAAGATTTATACGTACAGAGTGTGTTGTATTTAAATTACACTTTTCAATTTTTTATCGCTCTTTTTAACTTGAACTTTTTGGACGTCAGTGTCGTTTTAAAGTCAGATACATTCTTTACGTAAGTGAGCACTTTACATATTTTTTCTATCAGCTAAACGATGCAGTAAAAAAAAAAAAAAAAAAGTACATAATTGTACGATGAAGAAATGTGCCTTTATACGCTCGAATTGCTGAATCTTTTAAACATTAGTCGCAATCGTAAATGAATTCATATCGTAAATGATAATATAATTTATCATAAATGAACGTCATATCGATCTTTTCTTGCGCTGAGAAGAAAGATCGATTCTACTTCTTATTTATCGGAGACACTATTTCATTATGAATTACTGACTAAATTTCGATGTGATTCAAATTCAAGCTACTAAAATTGCACATTGTGTCATTGACGATATTAATTACTAGAATTACATATTATATCATTGGCTAGAATTATTATGGACGATATAATAAACAGTAAACATGTTTATTTACATTTATTATTAGGTTCTCGATTGTCGTGTCTCGGCCAAGGTCTGCGATCTCGATAGAGATAAAATTACACATAAAACTGACATTTTCAATATCATATCTGAATTTTTTCATACATCTGAACGTATTTTTTTCAGCTGAAAATAACCTTGAAATTCCGGAAAAAAATGACTTTGGAAAAAAAAATATATTTACCAGTTATTGTCCATTCGTGTTAGACGAGTAACAATATTTGTTGCATCGCCACAGTTCGAAAAGAATGAACCACCCTATATATATATATATATTTTTTGATTAGATATTAATTACCGGAATCATATATTATGTCATTGACTAGAATTAATATTATATCATTGACGATATAATAATTAGCAACGATATAAATAACATCGTTATTTATTTGCATGTTTATTATTCGGCTCTCGATTGTCGCGTTTTGGCCAGTATACATAAACAGCGAGATTTGACGTTTGGATGTTTGTTTTGTGTGTTTGGCCAGTGTGGCAGCGGCGGAGGGTCGACGGAAGGCGTCGTCGGGAGCGTCAGTGGGAGCGGCAGCGGCGGGAACAGCAGCAGCGGCGGTGGCATGGACTGCATGCCCCTACGTCCAGGCCCGTTTCACTATCTGATAAGCGAGCAGGCCAAGTCGTTGATCGCCCTGCAGGAGCTGCAGAATGAGGTCGGCGCCCTTCTCGAGTTCCGGGACCTCGTCATCGAGACGTTCCCAAACCTCCGGCACAAGATGGCCGCGACGTCATCCGCCGGAGCGTCCGTGATGTCCTCGTCCTGCACCCAAAACTCCCACATCCCACTACCGTTGTCCAGCAGCCCGTCGTCCCGAAGGATCAACGAATGGGAACCCGGCAAGATCAGGCGGCGAGTGCCGCGCGAAGGCGGCGGCGGCGAGTCGTCGTCGTCGTCCTCGTTGCCGAGGAGCCGCAGCAACTCGCACAGCGGTGGCACAAAGAACAACTGTAGCGCAACGGTGCAGGACTCTGGCTTCAGCACCGAGACATCTTCCAAGGATAGCGCCTCGACGGCGATAGCACCGAGGCCGAGCAGCCCTCGGCCGGCTGCGGTCCTCGACGAGGCGGAGGACGAGCTGTGGAACCTTCTGGACGTGATCCACCGCAAGGGGATCCGACTCAGAGAGGAGGTGGAATGTCTGCAAGGTCGTTTGGAGAGCGTAGCGTCCGAGGACCTGGCCTCCACCGACATCTTGGATGCCGTGAGGAAGGTCGCGTGTTTGGACGGTGAGAAGACAACGACGATCGGATCGAGGAGCGAGGGGGAGAGGGGGGAGGAGGAGGAGGAGGAGGAGGAGGAGGACAAAGAGGAAGTCAAGGACAGTGATTCTCAAGTGATAGCGCTGAGGCGAGAGAAGGAGCAACTTTTGGACAAGGTGGCGGAACTCGAGGCCGAGACGATATCCAGCCGAGCCAGGGCGCAGGAGCTTCAGTCGGAGTTGGCCGCGTTGTCTGCGTTGAAAACCGGGCTGGAAGATCGACTGCGGGCTGGACTGAGCGACGCATCCACGTCGGACAACATCTTCGTCCAGCCGGGCGCGCAGAGGCTGCAGCCCATTGCGACCGCGTTGCCTGTCGTCTTGTCGCCAAAGAGCAACAACAACCTCAGCAACATCAAAAGCAAGTCGTCCGCGTTCGCGTCGGTCGCGACGTCGGCCAAGGCTCACAAGAGCCGCTTCCGGACGAGGACCATAGAGAAGAACGTTCTGTTGGACGTGACCGCTCACAACGAGGAGTTGCGCGACATCGACGTCGAGGCGAGCGTGAACGAGAGGAGAGCGCGGCTTGGTGCGCTGGATTCCGTCCTTGTGTCACCTACCAGAGTCGCGCACGTTAGGGACGTCGACTCGAAGAAGATCGCTGCCATCCTACGGGAACATTCGCCTCTCGTTCTGCAGCGGCATTTAATCACTACTACCGTCCATAATCAGGTGAACGATCGTAACGCTTTTCCATTTCCCACGAGGTGTAGTTGAGTTGTAGTTCTCGCGGCTCTCGTTCGTATTCTTGGATCAAAATTGTAAAATGAAGATCAATTGCTTCGTAGGTCCTGCAAAAGAGGTTAGACGAGGTACAGAAGAGCACGGAAACTCTGTCGGAACGATTGGACAAGGCACGGGAAGAGAACGACGACCTGCGTTTCCAGGTAATATTAATCTCATAATGTTTAGACAGTGATGTTAGATACCTTTTTTTCGTTTCCAAAATTCTGACACGCTGACGCACGGTTCCAGTTGGAGGAGAGGAACATCGAGTTGGAGGGCACGCGGGCGCGCGTCCGCGTGTTGGAGAGACTTCAGCAACGGCCGCCGACGGAAGCAGACCCGGAGGCGGACGGTGATCAGCCGAGATGCGAGCAGAACGGTCTCGAGCCAGGAAGCAGCACAGAGTCGGCTCGCGATCATCATCAAGCGGTCGAGGTAAAACCGTCGCCTCGACGGCGTCCTAGTCGTATACCTTTGCCCGGTGCCACGACGAAGGCAACAGCGCCCAGACCACCCAGCCACGGAAGGAACGACAGCAGGGAGTCGTTAAAGTCGTTGACAAGGCCTCCGCGTGATTCTAGTCGCGACAGTCACGGCGGCAAGTCCCTGTCGAAGGCTCGTGACTCGAATCGGGACTCTCTCGGGAACAAAAGCCTGACGAAGAGTAGCAACAGCAACAGCAACAGCAGCGGCAGCAACAACGGCGCAGGCAGTGGGAATAGCAACGGGAACGGTAGCAGCAAGGAGACGAACAGGGAGTCCCTGAACAGGTCCCTGCCGCGTAACAATTCCAGCCGAGACTCCTTAAACAAATCCTCCTCGCTGTCCCGCGCCCGAGACTCGCTGGAGTCTAACAACCTCGGCACGTCCTCATCCCCGGGGACGACTCCTCCTCGACGACCGCCCGCTCCTGCACGCCGTTCCTACAGCCTGGCCCGCGCGTCAACGTCCGTTGATACCGAGAACGGCAAGGTACGATCCCTAAAGCAATATTTTTGGACCAACTGGCTGAAGTCATCGTTGTCCAACGGCCCGATCTAGTAGAGAGTCCATCAGTATCCTCTTCTCCAGGATGGCCACATATAGTCACACTGTGTTAGGGATATCTGCTGCTTCCAATTGCGGCCCATCCCCCGTCGAACTGAAGTCCGCCTCCTACGCCTCTCGGACCTAACTGTAACTTTTCTCCCGTCTCGACACGCTGACTTGTGCTCACTGTAAAAAAAAGAAAGAAAGAAAGAAAGAAAGAAAGAGAGAGAGAGAGAGAGAGAGAGAGAGAAAGAGAGAAAGAAAGAACGAACGAACGAATTTCTCTAGATCCGAGCGAAATTTCTGCAAGTGCCAGTGAGCGTTCGCGAGTCGATTTGAATAAAAAAGCGAAACAATTGTATCATTGGGAAGATCAGCCGGGTGCGAGTGAGCCAAGATTAAACGATCTGCTGCCGTGCGGGGAAGAGCAGAGAGAAACGGTCTGCGAAAGAGAAGAGGGAGGATAAATTGAGTCGATAGGAAGAGCAGCCCCACTGGACTTTGTGTTAGTCCCTAGCCGAAGGAAAGGAGTTCCACGGTCTTCCAGGGCTTGGAATTATGGCAATGGTCAACATGAATAACCTACTGAACGGCAAGGACTCCCGGTGGCTCCAGCTAGAGGTTTGCAGGGAGTTCCAGCGCAACAAGTGCACCAGGCCTGACACGGAGTGCAAGTTCGCCCATCCACCAGCTAACGTCGAGGTGCAGAACGGACGGGTCACTGCTTGCTACGACAGTATCAAGGTAACGAACAACACATTGTGTTACATAATCGAGTTTTCACCTTTCCGGGGTTCGTCGCCCGATAATCCCGGGCTTTCTGGCTACTCTCTGTGGCTGCCAGAGCGTTGTTTATCTTGTGCCTTTCTTTCCTTCCATCTTCTGCACACTATACGCATTTACTTTATTATCATGTCGTCACGTAGGTACATGCGTACGATTGCTGCTGTCTTTGACCGTTTTAGTGCCACGGGCTGTTTGAGAAACCAAACGTAGATTGGATAAAGTGGCGTGCGAAAAATGCCAAGGAGCGCAATGATAAGTGGATAAAGTAGAAATTGTCTATTCGTGCGCGTGGCTTGGGTTTAATTGAAAAGGAAAGTAATTAGAAAAGGGAAGATACGATCCACGACGATATGGCGCGATAATCGAAACCAAGCTCATTGTAAATTAAGTATCGCGGACCAAACACGCTGCGGCACTGTTTGACACGCGAAATTTGAACAGCGCGGTACCACTTTCTTGCCAAACAATAAAAGTCGATAAAGTAGAAGTTGTCTATTCGTGCGCGTGGCTTTAATTGAAAAGGAAGGTAATTAGAAAAGGGAAGCTTCGATACGATTGATGACGATATGGCACGACAATCGAAATCAAGCGCATTGTAAATTGACCAAACACGTTGCGGCACTGTTTGACACACGAAATTTGAACAGCGCGGTACCACTTTCTTGACGTAACTGGCGAAAAATGCCGAGCAATAAAAGTCGATAAGGTAGAAACTGGTTATTTGCGCGCGTGGCTTAGGTTTGAATTGGGGGAAAAAAAAGAAAGGAATTTGAAGAGGAAGCTTTGACATGACCGACGACGCGCGTATAATCGAAACCGAGCGCGTGTAAACCGAGCATCGTGACCAAATACTGCGGCGGTATTTGACACGAAATCCCGAAGAGCTCGACCATACTGCGTGGCACTAAAACGGCGAATCCGGCTAAATTTGTTTCAATTTCTTCCTTGTCCGTGTTTGAAACAACAAACCGTCGGTTTGGTCCGACCAATGGAGGAGAATAAAGTATTTTGTGATTACCGATTACTCGCGTTTCGAACTAAAATGTTTGTTACGAATCCTCGAATGCCCCAAATGTCCGCCATTTCACGTTTGCGCGACTTACTCGACGCCCGGAATTGCAAATTTGTAATTCGTAACTCTGCAGCTGTCATTAAAGGATTGCTAAAATTTTTCATTTTCGACTCGTCCCGAGAACATCATTCAATCCCGCGGACGACTTCTAATAAAGCTGTCGCTGCGGAAACGTCTTGAGCAAATACCGCGTACGTAGGAGAAAAAAGATACGAGAGAGAGAGAGAGAGAGAGAGAGAGAGAGAGCAGCAGGGCGCGGCTCGAACGTCTCGCTACACGCCCCGTGGATATTGAATTCGAGGATTGAGAGTTTGTGTAGTTACTAATAGCGGCAATTACTCAACGCGCGATCCGCTCGGATGAGAAACTACGCGACGAGTTTGATGAATAAGAATCGATCTTGCCGATTTCCGCGCAAAAATTGGAAATCCTTCCGCTGTAACGGTCCGAATAAGTTTGCGGGAACTTTGCGGGAAAAATTTCAACGACACACGCGAAACGTGCGTGAGCGCTGATTAAGATAAGACGCGATTGATAGTTTTGTTATCTTTTGAAAGTAGGAAATGGGCGAGAGTCATTCTTCACTCACATGGGAACGTACGTAAAGTCTCAGTCACCGATTTCGACAAAATTTGGCTTAAATGTAGCTCTGAAGAAAAGTGAAAAGAAAAAGATACTTGATACGTATATTTGTTTTGTCGGCAATTGTCGATGTTGAAAACTAATCTCAAAGTTGGGGGTGCGGAGTGTATTTTGTTAAGTATCTCAGAAATTACTGGAGACAGTTTTTTTTGTAAATTGATGAAATTAGTATTTTTTAACGTTAATACATGAAATACAGTTTCTCTAATATATCAAAGTAACTGTATACGAGAAAATGTATTACTTGGAAAAATTCATCCAGTTGTTAAGAATTTTTCTTTAGTATGTCTTAATATTATTTTTATTATTTTTATTATCTTAATATTATTTTTATTATCTTAATATTATTTTTATTATCTTAATATTATTTTTATTATTTTTATTATCTTAATATTACTTTTATTATTTTTATTATCTTAATATTATTTTTAATAATATTAAATATATCTTCATAATATTTTTAATAATATTAAATATATCTTCATAATATTTTTAATAACAGTTTCTCGAATACTTCTTTGCGAAAACTAGTAAACATCAATTTGACTCTCGATTTTTGCATTACAAAGAAAAAGAAAGGAATTTCTCGGTGGGATCGGTCCGAAGTTCGAGGTAGCGAGGTGTTTAAACTGGCAATCTGGACGAGCGAGTTTTTTCCAAGTTTTTTTTCGAAGCTTTCGAACTCTAGATACGCCGTAGGAGGAGAGGGGCCACGATTCAGCGTGGTACTTTTCCCAAGTTAGCCTCCGTTAGCGTTCCGTCTCGCGCAGTTTGCGAAATTAAGTCGGATGATTAAACGGCCAGATTATTCTTGGTGTCGGTGGCGGCGACGTGCTGCGTACGACGATGGTGCACGTCAACGTACGCGACAATGATGTATACGTCGGTACGTGAGTCGTGCCACGTTCGCCCGAGTCGTCGTTTAATTCTGGAAGCTATTAATGTCGGCGGAGACTCGGCTGAAAGGCCCCGTTGTTCGCCGATCCTCCTCTCCCGGCCATCTCTTTTGCCTGCTCGTTTGCTGCTCGCACGTTCTTACTCAATAGTGGCACTCGTTACGTTTAATCGTTTCGACCGAATAGAACAGCACGTCTATACGGGCCTCGCGTTTAATCTACCTCCGTGCTCTCGCACCGTGTACTCGTTTGTACCTGATTACCAGTACACGCGTACCAGAGAGCTCGTCGAATCCATCTGGTTACTCTCTCGTGTCTTCCTGTTTTTTTTTTTTTTTTTCTAACCATTCGATCGAACTTCCTCGAGAGCCCATCGTGCCCCAACACAGGGGAGCAATTTCTTTTCCCCATCTCGGAGCATAAATGTACATTTCGAAAATTCTAGAGTAGCCAACTGATGGCGTATCCCGTACGTGGGATAATAAGATCCTGTAAAATTCCCGACCGAGTGCCTGGGCGGGGGGGAGGGGGGGGGGTAACGTTATAATTTCATCTCTGACGCGAACGTCCGACTCAGTTTCGAATTACCCGGTCGGCCGTGAATGTACGTACTTACTTACATTGGCGGCAATGGTAATAGAAGTTGGAACGAGCCGTTTCTCGCGGAATATAAGAGAGAAACTTCTAGCCGAAGAGAGGCGCGATGCCGATATTACTTCCGAAGAAATATTAGCAATAAACCATTGCATTAGGTGCACGTAGACTTTGGCCGGCGGGCTGCGATGGAGAAGTAGGGGGGCAGCTTCTATACCGACTTCTATAAACGCTGTAAGAGAGTCTACTCGTTTCGCGCGCCCGTTTAGGTGGCAGAAGTGCGGCTCTTCTTACGCTCGACCGATGAAATAAAGGCTCATTTTTCGAGCCGGGGAATAAAAGGGGGGAAACGAAAGGGCTATTGCCGTTTCGTACGTCTACCATTCGCGTTTAATGTTCGAAATAGTGAGAGAGTGAGAGAGGGAGAGAGAGTATCGCACGGTAAAAGCTAGATTAATTCGCTGGAAGGAAGGAAATTGTAGCCGAAAATCGGGGGCCATTCTTTCGTACGCCACGCTGGGAATCGCCGTAAGGGGGTTCATGGCGCGTAAGTAACGATCCCCTCTGGACTCGTAGATAATCTGCCACCTGCATACCGGGTATCGCGCGATTCGCGCGAATATTCGTGCGAATATTCTCACAAAATGGGGGGGGGGGGTGTTTCGTCCTTTTAAATCAATTTGCGACAGTATTAACGTCACGTTTCTGGTCGTCCGCGGTTAGGTAATTAGAGCTGGCGGATCGAACTTCAGTTTCCAGTAGTATTTCCATCGAGCACGACGTACGTCGTACGTACGTATCTAGCCATCGAGTTATACTTAGGAGATTGAATTCGAAATTCTCATTTTTTTTATTCACGACGCCGTCACGATCTTTCTCTGGCAGAGGCCATTCTCTGTGTACCAATCTACGATTCGTACGTTCGATTCCAATTAGACCGATTGGACGGCGGCGGGATATTAAAGGAGAACCTCGGGCCTAATCGTGCTCGTTCTCCGCTCTGTTTCGCCGGGAATATACAATATATCTCGGGGGTGGAGGCGCTGTTGAGAGGAGGAATACGACACCGGATGGTTGGAGGGACGGTTTCACCGGTTTCGGTGTTTCCCCTCGGTCAGGCCACGCTGTCTCTCGAGACACTTCCACCGGTATTCGCCCCGGAGGCGGAAGACTCCCTCGTGAACCCTTCAACGACCACCACCGCGCCCCTCTCTCTCTCTCTCGATCGGCCGAGTGGCCGCTGTGCCAGTTCTTACTCACCTCGCCGTTATCGATTCCAATTACCTTAAAACTTTCAATTAATTCGACTGTCAAGCGTTTTACGCTTTGCCGGGCCAGGGGCAGGGGGACGGGACGTCGGGTGCCAGCCATTTCTTGGTCGCAGATGTCGCGGGGTTCGACGTCGAAAACTCCTGCCGCCGGTGCGACTGTTTTATCGGTTCGTCACGCCCCGTCGACGATTGGACTTTTCTTCGTCCCTCGTCAACCCTGTTCACTCTCTCATGCACCGCGCTTACCCATCTATAAACGTGTACACGCGGTGTCCGACATCTTCGACGCTCCGA